AGCAGCAGCAGCAGCAGCAACAGCAGCAGGAAGCAGCAGTGAACGCATGCCGCAGCGAGCAGCACCACTCGAGTCTCAGGTTTCCTTGTGAAATGCCGCCTGCTCCTCGCTCGTTGCTCGCCGCCCACGAATCTCCCCACCTCGCAGATTCTCATGCGGACCTCGGTGTCACCGCGAGTCAAGGCGCCCCGCGCTTGTTAGCTCGGGACGTTGCTCGGGCGCACTGTTTGGCGCGGTGGTGGTGACCCGCATGGCCTGGCGGTGGTGACCCGTCGGCCGCTTTGCTCGGGTCGTCACCAGTCCCTCTATCCTCCCAGGCTCGTTGTTACGGCCTCGTTTCTTCGCAAACAGGACACCTAGATTCGACCAGGACTTCGAACATCGCTACTGTATCTGCTAACGTATCTGCTCGTGCTGTGGATGAGTCTAGCGTGGTACAGCGAGGGCACGAATTGCTGGAACTCGCTTTGGAAGAGAAGATCCAGCGGGCTGCTGCACGCCTTTGTTGATAGAACGAGCGAGCAAGTCGAAGCGAGACCCCACATTTTCGGTGCCCCTCCTCCGGCTTTATGTCGGCATGCGGTGGGCGGGCGAGCAAAGCACCCAACAACTCCCCATGGCCGGCGTACGTCTTCCCGGTGCTCCTCGCCGTCCGAGCTTCGTTGTTGGATCGGCCTTGGATCGGCCTGTTGATCGTCCGATCAATTCGCCGATCTTAAAACCTCGATGAGCCCGCAAGCATGCTCCGAGCCGAATCTCAAGCATCGTCTTGCAGATCGCCCTGGCTCACACTGAACTGCACGACGAATTCGAATAGGTTGCGCGAGGTGATAGTGTACAAGGTTGATGAGAGACGGAATGCAGAGGTGAGGATCAAAGGGGGCCGGCAAAAAGAGATGGGAGCAGCATCTAGCCCGACCTGCTTCCGATTCTCGCCAGCGACTGTGCAAGAATAAAACGATAGAGAAGGCGACAAGGAGGGAGAGCGTCAGTCTTCGCATTCGCAAGGGCGGCGCACACTGAAGCAAGGATGCAGAGAGTACGTACGTCTTCGGACTGTTCGGCTTCTTCGATGGCGTCGCTCTGGCTGACGGTTCGTAAGACCGACTTTTTCGACGACTCCTGCATCTCTCCTGCGATGATCAGCTCGTCGAGGATCTGCAGTGACCATATCGAATCGGAAGAATGCGCGGCATCAGTATTTAGTGCATCGCCGAGCTGCATGGTTGGGGCGAAACGTACTGCGTATGCTTTCTGAAAGTTGAAGATGAGATCGAGCTCGCAGACGTTTCCAAAGTAGCGATCGAGCACCTCGACGTATCGATGGATGATCTCGAGCGTCACCAGCTCGTTGTCGCCCTGGCTGATGCCCGTCACAAAGAAGAGCGACGCATACCGCCGATACACCACCTTGCTGTCCTTGTACTCGAGAAAGTTGCACATGCGCGTGCGCCGCGCCAGCACCAGCTGCGTCACGTCCTTGGTGATCTTGAGCTTCGCCTTGGGCGACATGGTGGTGAACCACTTGGCCAAGCGCACCTTGCCCTGGCGGCTGATGAGCAGGATCCAGTTGATCTGTCATGCAGTCGGAGTATAAGCCAGAACGCATGAGTATAACTCCGAGCCGAGTCCGAGGTTGGCTGCAACTTACCGCCATGTTGCCGAGTGCTGTAGGTGCGGAGATGCGATGGTAGCGCCGCGGTGACGAGGAGACAAGACTGGTGGCAGTGTGCCCCGAGCGCGTGTCGAGCTGTTGCGTTGCGGTGGAATTGCGGCCGGACACGCGTCAGCCTGACTAAGCTGTCAGGCAAAGACCAACACCTCGCGACCGTTGCGTGGAGGCGGATTAGAGCTTCGGCGGACTTGAGCTTTCGACCTGCGTGCAGCAACGCGGGGCTCGAGTCCGACCAGCCTGCAGCCGAGCAAAAGCAACCGGGGTGCCACCACCTGCTCGCTCGAGCAGCTTCCGACCTTGCACATCCCAACACCAGCTCGAGTCGCTCTTGGCCGGCTACAGCATCTGGCAACGCCGAGGTAGACCCTTCGGACCGGAACGCGACCGGGCAGGGCATGCTCCCGACACACTTTGCCAGTGCCGCCGTCTCTGCGCAGCATGCCGAGCAAGCAACCATGGTCACCTATCCACCCACACCGAACGGAGCGTCAGCAGCTCGCCCCGTCGATACGACCGCACCTTCTGCGCCTTCCAATCCAGTGGTGCGACGAGTGCTAGGTTCGCGCGGCATTGCGTCCCTCACCATCGACACGGGCGCGCTTTCGGCGCAAGCTGCCAAGCACAACGGCACGGCACCAGCACATTCCACCGCCACCGCACCGCGATCAGCAAAGCGCGGGCGCTGGCACACGCTCGAGTTCAAGCTGTACTATGCGGTGTTCGTGGTGGTGGTGCCTCTGATGGTGTGGGTGCCCATGCGGCTGAGCCGGCCGTCGAATCCGAACTACTACACCTACTCGGGCCACCTCAAGCCCGGCTGGATCGCAGGGCGGCTGCGCGACGATAGCGACTTTCAGTACCGCTCGTTCCGCGACTACGTGCCGGCGCTCGTGGGCATCATGGGCGTCTATCTCGCGCTCTCCAAGCTCTTCACCTGGCTGCCATCGCCTGCACCAAGATACTCTCGCGTCGACGCAGCGGCGTCGACATCATCGCCGAATCGCAAGGCCTTCCTCACGGTGTTCACCGCGATCTTTGTGTTTGCACTGCACGGCTTCAACTCGATCAAGCTCTTGCTGGTGGTGGTGGCCAACTATGCGCTGAGCAAGGCGGTGGGTGGGACGCGGGTGGCGCCGGTGGCGGTGTTTGGGTTCAACGTGGCGACGCTGTTTGCGGTGCACTGGAACGACGGCTTCGAGTACGCGCGAATCTCGCCGGCGCTGGCGTGGCTCGAGGTGTTCAAAGGCTTGCTGCCGCGGTGGCAGATCAACTTCAACATTACCATGCTGCGGCTGGTGTCGTTTGGGCTCGACTACCACTGGGCGCGGTGCGAGGCGAAAGCGGGCGCAGCGGCGGGGCGGTCGATGGGCGAGGTGGAGCGCGAGCAGCGCGAGGCTTCGTACGTGGAGCGCACACGGCTGACGCAGGCGATGCACGAGTACAGCCTGGGCACGTATCTGCTCTACGTGCTGTATCCGCCGCTGTTCATCGCCGGGCCGATCATGACGTTCAACGACTTTGCGCACCAGTTGCGGCGGCCGTGTGCGATCGAGCGCAGTACAGTAGTTCGATACGCAGCACGATTCGTCGTGTCGCTGCTGACGATGGAGTGGATCCTGCACTACGTCTACGTGAACGCGATCAAGGATGCCAAGGCGTGGGTGGGTGCTTCGCCCATGGAGCTGTCGATGATCGGCTTCTGGAACCTCATCATCGTGTGGCTCAAGCTGCTCATACCCTGGCGCTTCTTTCGGCTCTGGGCCATGGCCGACGGCGTCGAGGCGCCCGAAAACATGGTGCGCTGCATGGCCAACAACTATTCCACGCTCGGCTTCTGGCGTTCCTGGCACCGCTCGTACAACCTCTGGATCGTGCGGTACATCTACGTGCCTCTGGGAGGTAGCCGCAACCAGATCGCAGCGACGCTGCTCGTCTTCACCTTTGTGGCGCTCTGGCACGATCTGAGCCTCAAGCTGCTGGCGTGGGGGTGGCTGATCACGTTTTTCATCGTGCCCGAGGTGGTGGCGCGCAAGGTGGTGCCGTACAGCCGATACGGCGATGCGTGGTGGTTCCGACACCTGGCGGCGGTGGGCGGAGTGGGCAACGTGCTCATGATGATGACGGGCAATCTGGTCGGGTTTGCCATTGGCACCGACGGCATGCGCTACATGATCGAGCAGCTGCTGGGCAGTGCCGAGGGGATGCAGTTTATGCTGGCGGCGTGCGCTACGCTGTTTGTGGGCGTGCAGGTCATGTTCGAGTACCGCGAGGAAGAGCTTCGTCGCGGCATCGACCGCAAGTGCTGACACCGCTCCTTACGCTCAATGCTAGAATCCATATAGTTCGACGGGTCCGTACGGTGTGTAGCGGTGGCAGTCACAGCTGGATGGGGGGCGGTTGAATTTTGCTTGAATATGTTAGATCGCGGACATGTGCCGGGATCTGGCTTGCAGCTTCATCGCGACTGGGTTTGCTGAGGGATGATGCCGTGCAGACGGGAATTGGATGTGCGGGGCGACCAAAACGCTCGCCAAATCCAAATTTTAGAAAAAACGGGCAAATGCCCCGCTGCCGCTTTGTGCATGGTTTCGCGGCTTGTTTGGGCGGCTGGGCTGAGAGATGCCCAGGTTGCAGCTCCGACGATCCGCCTCGCATTCGCCTGTGCCTTTCAGCTGCAATGCCTGGCCCCCCCTTCGCTCCACGCCCTGCTTCTCCACACGTCCCCCCCACCTTCTGCAGCAACCGACAGCTTTGATCGCGCTGTCACAACACACTAGACGGTGCATACCCAACACGAATCGGAAGAGCGGTACATGAGGAAGGTGGTAGATGGGATGTGTGTGTGCGTGCGAGTGCGAGGCGAGGCGGGGCTGAGGGGAGAAAAAAGGTGTTCTGGGATTCTCGGCTACAGGGCGGAGTGTTCCTGTGTGCATGCGAGCGGATGAGCGGTTGGAGAGATGCAAATCAGGTTTCCCCATGCCGTTGTGGTCCCTTTCCCCATGCGTCTGAGCTCTGCCGCCTCAGCTCGCCAGCCGTTTTCCCCTGCCTCTTGCTTTGGCTCCATCCACCATCGTCCTCGTCCTCATCGACCTCCTCTCCCCACCTTGACCTAGTACGGGATCGTACACGCTCAGCACCACATCATCTTTGGGCTACAACCATGGCGCCTCCTCATTCGCGACCGCCGGTAGCACCGCAACTTCTCGAGATTCCACTGCAGCTGGCGATCGTGGCGTTTTCCGTGACGCTGCTGGGTCTGAATGCATGGGACTATTCGCGATGGATGATTCTGCGTGAAAAGGCCACGATCACGCAGCTTGTGTCGATCAACGATAACGGCATGCTCAACGTGGTTCTTGCCGGTATGATCATCGCGGCGGTTACATTTGCATTTGGAAACCTCGCCGCGTTCCTCGCCTGCGCACAGTTCCCCAAGCGTCGTGGAGAACGAACGGGCAAGGGAACCTACGGCTACATTCTGGTCGGTCTTGTTGAACTCGTTCTGTCGGGTGCATTGTTGGGCATTGCCGCCGCCTACACAGCTTATGCAGTCCAGAAGCATCCCACTTTCGAGAGGGGTCCTAGCTACCAGGAACCCTTCACCGACGGACAAAAGGTCTTCCTCCGAGCGATCTATGAGATGTTCAAGAACGGCCAGAACGTCAACCCCCCTACACAGACCACGCAGTCCCTCTCGGCTCTCGGACCTTGGGCACAGATCAACAACATCGAGCAGGCAAATGCCTTCCTGGCCCAGAATAGGTATCTCAACTACACGCACTACCGCATCACAACCGCCATCAGCTGGGTCACCCTCGCAACCACCTTCTTTGTCATGGCCGTCCACTTTGCCCTGCCCCTCGTCCTCAAGGCGTTGGGTATGACAAGACCCCCCAAGGGCCAGGAACCTGCCCGAGCAAGCTCCAGAGTCCCCGTCGGCTACGGCGATAAACGCAACAGAGCCGCAGGCTACCAGCGTGAAGATTACGCCGAGTACTGATTACCCCCTACCATCCTGGATCACCTTTAACTTCCAACTCTCGACTCTCTTTCTTAGCATCTGCTCCCCCGTTTTGTACGTGCCCGACTTCACGCTCTTTTGTGCTGACCCGACGGTGGACCGCGTAATATACCGTGCTGTGTCCCCACCTGATTCAGATTGCGTGTTGGAGATCAACTGAGAATGCATTCAGGGTATATCGCGCGGATCTATGGGGTGAAGAGGCTGAGCAGCTGGCGGAGCACGAGCAGCGGCATGCGCACCAGCACGCGCAGCCAGTCGGTCGCCATGAGCGACACATCCGAAGCTGGCGCCGGCTGCACCTCGTCGTCTTCCTGCGCACTGCTGTGCAGACGCGGGGCTGCTGCACGGGGCACATCCACATCGGCTCGGTCCTCGGCCTCGTTGCTGCCCAGTTCGTGCTCAGCGAAAGGGAGTCCTACCTCGATGGCTGCGGAATGGGCTGCGACTGGCTCCGGCATCTCGAGCCACGACTCTTGCACACCCATCTCATACGTCGACGCATCAGGCCGATGTGGGGCCGCAGCCACAACGCGCGAGGCCTCGACGATGCGCGTCAACTCATCGATACGTGCCACCAGCGCGCGGTTGGTACTTTGCGTCGCACTGAACAGCATCGCCACCACCGCGGTGAGGAAGAGCGTCCAGAGCACATGCGACGCACGCAGAGCCACGTGTGCCGTGCCGCTTCCCGTCTCTCCGCGTGCGCGCGATGCGTGCGCAGCACCTGTAGCGTCCTGCGTCAAAAGCTCCTTGTGCGCAGCTATCACCGCCAGCGCCTGCTGTATGACCTCGTCGCTGTTAATTTGCCCGGCCTGTAGGACCGACCGCGGGTCATGATCCTGTAGCACCGTCTCTAGCGAAGCGTCAAGAGCGTCTCTTGCCTTTCCTGAGGGCGTCTTGTTCGATATCGGCAGTGGTGACGGCTCCACCGGCACCAACATCGGCTCCTCGTGCTCTTGCAGCAACGCTGAAGGCACAAGCAGCCCTTTGGGCAGTCGGGACAGGTCCAACTCTGAATGCGATGAGTCGACCGCGAGTGCTCCACGCACACTGATCACCACAGGCTCCGAGCTCTGCAGAACAGGCAGCAAGCTCAAGTTGATGACGAGCGTGTCCGAGGAAGCACTCGGCTCGGACGGTTCCGAGGGGGTCTGCGATGGCACGAACTTGGTGCTGGCGGACGACTGGAGCGAGAATCGCCTTTGCTTGGGGTTCGTTGGGCGGCCATTGTCGAGCGAATAGTCGAAATCGGCATCATGAATGCCTTTGGGCGGAGCGACCTTGAGCAGGTCTTCTTCCTCGGACGGCTGCTGGCCTGTGTCGGGCAGGATGACCATGTCGCCGAATTCGGACGTCGACAAGCCGCGCAGCATGGCGTGTGCATTCGTGAGAGGCTGCCGAGGGGGAGAGGTCGCCGAGGATGCGACAGCGCCGAATGACCAGCTCAGGATGCCCCGCGATGCATCCGCTGCATCCACGCGCCATGAACGTAGCGCGGCGGGAGCATCGAGTTGCACGTACAGCTGAACCTCGCGATCCAAGCCAGGGAAGAAAGGCTCGTCCAGTTGTACGTTTGCTTCAAAGTCGAGCATCGTCTCGTTGGTGTCCGCATCTGCCGGCTGTCTGGGACGGTAAGTGATCGAAGAGCTGGCTGTCTTTGCCCTTAGTGCGTTGGGCAGGGTGGCCCGCGAGGATCCTGTCAGCGCGAGATCGCCAGCATGCTCGGATGCGAATCGGACGACGAGCGCGTCGCAAGCTTGGAATGGGCCTGCGATGGTGGAGTCGTCTTTGTCGGCACCGGCGTCATCCGTCGGGGCGATGCCGGTGAGCGTGTCGTCGTCCTCGTCGTCAAACTGCAGAACGCTACCGGGCGAGCGAGTCAGCGAGTTGGTGGACGAATTGCGACGAGAGGTTGGCCGCGGTGCCGAGACCGGCAGGATGGGTGGATCGACCTCGACGGCGATGTCGGGCAATCCGAGTTGTTGGCTGATGGATTCGTCGATGGTGAAGTGCAGGTAGTTGTTCAAGCAGAAAGGTACTGCCATGCGCACTGCGAACGGGGCCAAGGGCGGGCGAGAGACAGGCGCTGCGAAGAGATGCAGCGTCACCATGTACATGCCTCCCCCTTCCCGTGAAGAGGCCGAATCATGTTTGGATCGCAGCAGCGCGACGCCCTTGTCGGAGCGTACGATTTTTGGTAGTGCAGCACGGTCAGCGGAGACTGCTGACGAGCCTGTGCGCGCGTTCTTTGGCGACTCGTACTGGATGAAGCTGTCGTCCATCTCGTGATGAAGGGAGAGCGGGACGCCGAGATTGCTGGCGGCCGTGGCCGCTGAAGTGGACAGGGCGGGTGCTGCTCCCGAGGCATCGAGACGGTGGACGATGGCCTCGAGCAGCTCGACATCGGGATCGGCGAAGAGGAACAGCTCTTCTTCCAGCCGGTCCCCGACGGAAGCAAGATGGATCTTGAGGAAGAGTGTATAGTTGGCTCCCTTGCTGGACGCCTGGCCCTTGAGCACGAGTTTCTTGCACACCCTGGAGCGGGTGGAAGTCGTTCCACGTCGAGGCGTGGAGGGCCCAGCTTCGACCATGACTGCGGGCGGTTCGTTCGTTCCAAGGTCAAGGGCAGGTAGATGTCGAGCTACGGACAGTGACAGGCATTCAAGGTCGTTCTCAAGGCGGAAGCGCGTTGCAGCGACGCTCTCGAGATGGCGCGGCAGCTCAGCTCACAGCAAGCTGGGGCGAGATTGACAGGATGGAGTCGTATACGCAAGCGAGTCATACCCGGGGTGGAAGCAGTGCTGGTCAGGAGTGCCTGCTGCTGACCCTCGTGTTGGCTGCAGCCGGGACTGGTGGGAGAAAGGAAGGATGCGGACCACGGGCGCATGTGTCCCAAAGGCGCACAAAGCCGTGCCTTGTGCAGCTGTCACTTTGTGTGACTCTGGAAGGACGAGCTGCCGAGTGGAGATTGTGATTTGGCCGAAGGATGTGACAATTTGCCGAAAGTAACACCCGCGGACTTTTGCTAAAATTCCGAAAAGTCACACCAGCGCGTCTCCAAGCCTTGAATCTCGGAACCGAACGCACGGCGCTGCTTACCGCACGTGAGGTGAGCCGCGGTGGCCGGCCTGGAAGAAATTTACTTGGGCCAGAGACGGCTCGGCTGCAGCCCTTGCAAGCTTCCTCGTCTGGTTTGACCACCACCACCACCACCACCACCACCACA